CTGTAAAGGAGCTAAACCTTTTGGGCCCATTTTTTATTTACAAAACCTGCTCACACCCAACATATCAATCATCTATCTGCAAATGGTTATTGATTCAGGCAAAAAAAATCTTGAAAAGACTTTTAGCAGACTCAACTCTATTGTCATGCATAATCTTAAGGCAAATTACAACACAATTAGCAAGAAAAATCTTTACAAACATCAGCCAACGCTTTTACGTGAAAGAACAGCCAATTGGCACCATAAAAACATGTGATCATTGTGTAGGATGGAAATGAGGTGTTCCCTCCTTCTAATGAGGTGTTTCAGGTACATGAGGTGTATTACTTTCATTGTGTAGGATGGAAATGAGGTGTTCCAGGAACATGAGGTGTATTACTTTCATTGTGTAGGATGGATATATTACTTTCATTGTGTAGGATGGATATATTACTTTCATTGTGTAGGATGGATATATTACTTTCATTGTGTAGGATGGATATATTACTTTCATTGTGTAGGATGGAAATGAGGTGTTCCAGGAACATGAGGTGTATTACTTTCATTGTGTAGGATGGAAATGAGGTTCATTGTGTAGGATGGATATATTACTTTCATTGTGTAGGATGGATATATTACTTTCATTGTGTAGGATGGAAATGAGGTGTTCCAGAAACATGAAAACTGCTATACCACTTGTTACAGAAATTTGAATATTTACATACATACCACTTGATTCTTTACATATTTGCTGAAACTTCAAAGGCATGTAGAAGCATTCGTTTGTTGTTCATACATTCCCCATATCAGAAAAAATGTCTCAGATTTTTTAAAAATTTGAAACATCTTCGATATGGAGAAATGTCACTGTAAATCTCATTTGAATGCCAAGATATGTGACTAGTGTCAATTAATAATGAAGTGGCTAGCAGTAAGAGGCAAGCAAGATCCATATAACAGAGTTATTGGCTGAAAACATAGTTATTGGCTGAAATCAATTCACTTGCTGAATTTAATGCCATTAACTGAAACCATTTGGAATAATTCTAATGAGCATTGTGTCTCAGATTTTGAGGAGAACATATGGATGATATTATATGGTCATACACTTGTTACAGAAATTTGAATATCTACATACATACCACTTGATTCTTTACATATTTGCTGAAACTTCAAAGGCATGTAGAAGCATTCGTTTGTTGTTCATACATTCCCCATATCAGAAAAAATGTCTCAGATTTTTTAAAAATTTGAAACATCTTCGATATGGAGAAATTTCACTGTAAATCTCATTTGAATGCCAAGATATGTGACTAGTGTCAATTAATAATGAAGTGGCTAGCAGTAAGAGGCAAGCAAGATCCATATAACAGAGTTATTGGCTGAAAACATAGTTATTGGCTGAAATCAATTCACTTGCTGAATTTAATGCCATTAACTGAAACCATTTGGAATAATTCTAATGAGCATTGTGTCTCAGATTTTGAGGAGAACATATGGATGATATTATATGGTCATACACTTGTTACAGAAATTTGAATATCTACATACATACCACTTGATTCTTTACATATTTGCTGAAATTTCAAAGGCATCAAGAAGCATTCGTTTGTTGTTCATACATTCCCCATTTCAGAAAATATGTATCAGGTTTTTAAAAATTTGAAACATCTTAGATATGGAGAAATTTCACTGTAAATCTCATTTGAATGCCAAGATATGTGACTAGTGTCAATTAATAATGAAGTGGCTAGCAGTAAGAGGCAAGCAAGATCCATATAACAGAGTTATTGGCTGAAAACATAGTTATTGGCTGAAATCAATTCACTTGCTGAATTTAATGCCATTAACTGAAACCATTTGGAATAATTCTAATGAGCATTGTGTCTCAGATTTTGAGGAGAACATATGGATGATATTATATGGTCATACACTTGTTACAGAAATTTGAATATCTACATACATACCACTTGATTCTTTACATATTTGCTGAAATTTCAAAGGCATCTAGAAGCATTCGTTTGTTGTTCATACATTCCCCATATCAGAAAAAATGTCTCAGGTTTTTAAAAATTTGAAACATCTTAGATATGGAGAAATTTCACTGTAAATCTCATTTGAATGCCAAGATGTGTGACTAGTGTCAATTAATAATGAAGTGGCTAGCAGTAAGAGGCAAGCAAGATCCATATAACAGAGTTATTGGCTGAAAACATAGTTATTGGCTGAAAACAATTCACTTGCTGAATTTAATGCCATTCACTGAAACCATTTGGAATAATTCTATTGAGCATTGTGTCTCAGATTTTGAGGAGAACATATGGATGATATTATATGGTCATACACTTGTTACAGAAATTTGAATATCTACATACATACCACTTGATTCTTTACATATTTGCTGAAATTTCAAAGGCATCTAGAAGCATTCGTTTGTTGTTCATACATTCCCCATATCAGAAAAATTGTCTCAGGTTTTTAAAAATTTGAAACATCTTCGATATGGAGAAATGTTCTGGCAATTGCTTCTCTAATGATATTTTGCCTGGTGATATGAGTAATCTTACTATTTTCATATTTCAGAAGCAATAGTTTTTTGACTAATCATATGTATAGACGACTAAGCAATAATTTGATGTTACCATATGTCATGCTTGCAATGTGATATGCATAATCCATAATGTCAAGGTCATATGCATAATCTGATTTGAACCAACAGAAATCGGGTAGAGATGAAGAAAAGAATGGCCGAATTGTAGCATGTAATAAAGATACTCCTTTCCCAAATCCATATTGTAGCATTCAATAGAGATGCAACGGATAATGTAAACAATTTTTTTGTAAGACGTTTCCCAGTAATGGAAGTTCTTTGTGAGACAGATGCCAAATCAAGAGAAGTTTTAGAAGAATATGTTAACTACCAAACAATCACTCGCAAAACTCAGAGATCCGAAGCAATAGAAGCA